TAATCAAGTCTTTGTGATATTGGCTAATGGGATAGTGGTAACAGGAGAATCCAGAAATATGCCCATGTGTTTATGGTCAATTGATTTTTGACAAAGCAGCTAAGACAATTCAATGGGGGAAAAAGTTGCTTTTTAAACAAATGATCTGAGGTAATTGCCTATTTAAATGTAAAAAGAGAAGACCTCTGGGTCTCCCCTGGTGGCACAGTGGTTGAGCACTGGGCTATGAGGCTGCCCGCAGCCTCTACAGCAATGGTTCCTTCCCCTGCCGCCAGCGAGGGTCCCACCAAAAAAAAAAAAAAAAAAAAGAGAGAGAGAGAAGACCTCTGTATCATCTCATATGCAAAGATTAACTCAAAACGGATCAAAGACATAAATGTAAGAGCTAAAATTATACAACCCAAGAAGCAGGAGTAAATCTTTGTGACACTATATTGGAAAGCATCTTTGATATAATACCAAAACATCGGCAAAATACAAAAACTTTCATCTTTAAATAAAAGTAGCAAAGAGATAACCACAAAATGGGAGAAAATATTTGTAAATCACATATCTGATGGGGATCTAGTATCAAATACATAAAGAACTCTTATAATTCAACAGTAAAAAGATAAATATCATAATTTAAAAGTGGACAGTAGATTTGAATGACGTTTTCCAAAGAAAATATGCAAATGGTTAACAAACACCTGAAAAGCTGTCATCAATCAAAAAAAATCCAAACTATGTGATACCATGTCACACCTACTAGAGGAACTATAATTCAAAGGACAGAAAATAACAAGTATTGATGAAGATATTCAGTCAAATCCTCACAAACTGCTGGGTAGGAGTGCAAATGATGCAGCCCCTTTGGGAAACGGTTTGGCAGATCCTCAACTAGTTAAACACAGTTACCACTGCAATGCCACTCCCAGGTAGAAATCCCAGAGAACTGAAAATACACATTCATGCATACACTTATACATAAAAAGTTCATAGTTGCATTATTTACCATAGCCAAACTATGTAAACAACCCAAATATCCATTCACTGACGACAGACAAAATAAATAGTGAATATTTATTTTATGCGGTCATAAAAATGAGCAAATTCTGAAACAGTCTACAACACAGATGGGTCTTAAAACATGCCATGATTTCAGCAGTCAGACATAACTGGCCACATGTTGTATGACCCCATTTCTATGAAATGCCCAGGGCAGGCATAGCCATAGAAAGGGTGGATTACTGGTCGCCAGAGAGTTATGTAAGATTGGGGATAGGCAAAAGTGAGAATGGATTTCTTTTGGGGTGATAACAATGTTCTGGAATTAAAAAGTGGTAATGGTTGTTCAACCTCATGAATATAGTAAAAAAAAAAAAAAAAGGAAAACCCCACTGAGTCATATATTTTTAAAAAGGTAAGTTTATGGTATATGAATTATATGTCAGTCAAAAAGAATATGAAGTTTCATATGACTCAGCAGTTATAATCATAGGCATTAACCTCAGAGAAACAAAAACTCTGAAAATTCACAAAACATTGTATACAAATATTCATCGCAGCTTTATTCATAATAGCTAAATACTGGAAATGACTAGCATGTTCTTCAGCAGGTAAATGTTCAAGCAAATTGCATGACATCCATGCCATGAAATGTAACTCAGCAATAAAAAGGAACCAACTACTGATTCATGCAGCAACTTGAATGAATCTTTGGTGAATTATGCTGAATGAGAAAAATGCGCCTTTTACCACTTTAGTTACCAGTCAGAGGATCAGGCCAGAGGAGTTTATTCAGTTCTACTGGAACTGGGACTTGCATTCTTTTATTCTAGCCTGTGTCTTTATAATTCAAATGAGTTTCTTGAATCAACATTAGTTGGTTCTTTGATTTTTGATCAGTCTTACAATTTAGGTCATTTAACATTTAAATGCGCGTGTCTATGACATTTACATTTAATGTGATTACTGATATGATTGAATTCAAATCCACCATTTACAATCTGTTTTCTCAGATCTTTGTTATTTTCCCCCTTCTTTTATTTTTTTTTGGGGGGGCTAGGTAACTTTTATTTATCTCATTTAATTCTTTCTTTTTTTCCCCCTTCTTTTAAAATATTGTAGTATTTAGAATTTCATTTTACTACCCCTCAAGTTTATTAATTCTATGTTAATAATTAATTCTATGTTAATAACGTGGCAAAGTTATACATCTTTAACTGAGCATAATATACCTTAACATATCATACAACTTCACATGTAATATAGGAAACTTAAATCAACATTTTTAGTTCCTCCCTCCCATCATTCAGGCTATTGTTATGTTTTACTTGTGCATGTGTCTGCATATGTATGTGTTATCTACCAGAACACATATAAATATAAATATGTGTGTGTGTCACCATCCGGTTAGAAGATAAAAGACATATCATTAAACAAAACAGAAACTGTAAATATAAAGTACTAACTATGAAAATGTTATTACTAACTAAAGGAGGTTACGAGTGTTAGGGGGAAAAGGATGTCCCAAAGCTAATTCCATATAGGCTTTGTGGACTCCATCCCCACCCCAGGTCAAAGCCAAAGACACTGGGAACTCCAAATCCCATCACCACCAAAGGGAAGGTGGCTGGGACCTGAGGGTGGGGTTAAGCAGCCAGGTGGATATAAAAGGCAGACACGTGGGCTTTGGGGGACCCCATTTTTGGCTCTCCGCCAGCTCGCAGCATCCGGCCAGCTCTGAAAGTGACTTTGGGTTTCCAGGTCGTCGGATCGGGTAGGACGCATTAAAGACTTTATTTCCCTATTTTCTCCCTGAGTTGTACATTTTCCTTATTTCCTTTCCTCTTGTAAATAAATTTTTATTAACCTTTTTGTGTGTGTCTGTAGTAGAGTATTCATAAGTCTCTTTAAAGCGCGCGGGTGGGCCTCCCCGGTGGCGCAGGGGTTGAGCGCTGGGTTGCGATGCTGCCCGCAGCTCTGCGGCGCTGGTTCGATCCCTGGCTGCCACCGGGTGAGGGTCCCACATGGCGCGCAGACCTCTCCTGCCGCCCGCTGCTCCCCTCAGCAGTGTGCTTCGGTCCTTCTGCCTGCTCTGCTCCCCGCTCTGGCTCTGGTGAATTCTCTCACCCTCCCGCGCTTCTGACTGTGCCCAGTGCTCGTATAAATAAATAAATAAATATTTAAAAAAATAAAAAAAAATAAAAAAAATAAAGCGCGCGGGTGAGGACCCACAGCCAGGAACCCGTTTAATATCGAGGTTGCTCTATAACACGAGGACTCTATGGCAATCAGAATTAGTAAGTACAAAAACCCAGCTACACCACTAGCTGAGGGAAAGTAGACAACAAAGGAACTAAAGACTTAAGAGAGAGACAACCTCCAGGCTGAGATTTAGACCTTTTCAAAGGTCTAAATTGCTGCCACAACTACACAGGGTTTTGCCAGTGGTGAAGAAACTTGCCAGATGATTTAGGCCAGAACTGATCTACCATGGCTGTTGCGGGAGGACGTCTGGAGCTAGTCTGTAGAGCAAGGTGACTGGCAGGGAGGCAGCTGAGAGTGCGCAGAGCTACTGCAGAAGTGGCATAGAGTGAGTAGGGTGAGTGGTAAGACAGCTGTCTGGAGCCAGCTGGAGCTGGTCTGTGGAAGTGCAATGCTGAGTGGTGAGCATGTGGCCCGAGGGTACAGTCAGGGTCACCACAAAAGTGACTTCCATGTGGAGTTCATAGTTAAAGCATGTGGCGTGAGGTTGTCCCAGAGCATGCTGAGGTTAGTCTTGCTGAGTCTTGATTGCTGCACTGAATTAAAATTGAAGGGCACAGGACCCAAAGGTAACCTTCTTACTGCTATTATCTCACAGTCCCTCCAGTCTCCTCTTCTGACAACCAGTTGGCAAAGACACGTTGACAGGGTCTAGTCCCAGAAGCTGGCAAAGTACATCATTATATGGGTATTCACTGTACTATGCTTTCAACTTTTCTGCTGGTTTAAACATTTTCAAAATAACAGGATGGGGGACAAAGGAAATGACAAAGACTCCCAATTTGAAGTTGGAGGTGTAAAGCTAGCTTTCTTTCCTTTCCCCCTGAAAAACATGCTAAATAATGAAGAGAACAAGAAGCAACAATGAAAACCCCTCTAACAAAATTAGGAGGCAGCTGGAAAGAAAGGAAACTGTCAGCTGCTAAATTTCTCATCACTTGTAGTGATAAGTGAATAGATACTAAAAATGAAGCATTAAAAAAACAAAGTTGTAAACATAATTATTTAGCACTGTGGAAATAATCATCAAAAGAATGACAACAAATCAGTATGGAGGATGCTGGGAAGGAGGGTTTTGCTCTGCATTTAAAGTCTTTTATACGGGCCTCCCTGGTGGCGCAGTGGTTGAGCGCTGGGTTGCCAAGCTGCCCGCAGCCTCTGCAGCACTGGTTCGATTCCTGGCTGCATTCCGGCCACCAGAGGAGGGTCCCACATGGCGCGCAGACCTCTCCTGCCGCCCGCTGCTCCCCTCAGCAGTGTGCTTCTGTCCTTCTGCCTGCTCTGCTCCCCGCTCTGGCTCTGGTGAATTCTCCCACCCTCCCGCGCTTCTGACTGTACACAGTGCTTGTATAAATAAATAAAAATAAATCTTTAAAAATAAAAAAATAAAAATAAATAAAGTCTTTTATACTGTCTCCCTGTTTATATAAGCATTACACATAGTAATAGTAACAACAATCACAAATTTCCCCAATTACATAGACTATCCGGAAGGGTTCTGTGACAAAATAGTTGCACCTGGAAAAATAAATGCATCTTTCGTTATCTTCTCTACCCTGAAATGAGATCTTTAAGACACAGATTTAAATGGCAGCAACACTAAATACTAGTACCACATGAGAAACACGATTCTAATACTAAAAGTAATAAATTAGTACATTAAAATTACAGATCCTTTTATGTCAAAGAACTTAAAAATATTTTCATTCTTTTTTTTTTTTTTTTTGAGAAATTTGAATAAACAGACTCACAGTTCCACAAGGTTTGGAAGCTTCTGAGCAAGGTTTTCTGGCTGAAAATTAAAAACTCAGAATTAAATTATAATTTTGAACAATTTTTTAAACATGTCTAGTTAACTCAAACACAAAGTACCATATTTTTCAGGGGTATAATTTTGAGAAAGTAATGTGAAATCAGCAGGTCCGGGTTTTATGCGTACATAGGCTATAATACAATATTGAATTTATAAATTTTAAAACTTAAAATCAACAACGTCCCTTAGAGAAAGCACAAACCTCATTATTTCACAGTCATCAAAGAAAAGAGGGGAGAATGCCATGCTGTAAGGGAGATTGGGGCAACACAGCTATAAGCCAAGGACACCCAAGACGATCACCAGCATCCATGGAGGGCAAGGAGGGAAACAGGTTTTCCCTCAAAGCCCTAAGAAGGGATCGGCCATGCCCACTCTGTGATTTCAGGCTTCTGGCCTCCAGAGCTGTGAGAGAATACTTTTCTGCTGTTTTAAGTCACCTAGTTTGTGTGATTTGTTAATAGCAGCCCTAGTAAACTAAGTCACCATCTCACCCCACCCTCCAAATCATACTACTCAAGAGAAAGGAAGAGATCTTGGGTCCAGAAATCAAAACCTAACTGAGTTCAGACTAAACAAAGAAAGCTGGGGTTCAGGTGGTCCAAGGAAGTGTCCACCTGACCACAGGTTCAGAGTTTGGAATAAGGGTGTGCGGCCAGGATAGGAAACTGGCCACTAGGAGGACAGAAATGAGATGGATTGAGTTAGAGCCCTGGAAAGTCTGGCCCTCCCATGAAAAGCCTAGAAAAATTCTCCTCATAAATTGAAAGCAGGGTTCTCTGCTGGAAGCACCGGGTAGGAGTAAAAGCCTCCTGTAAATAACGCAAAGCTTGCCTTCATCACATGGGCACACAAGGAATTCGAGTTTACATAAACACAAAGACAGTGGTTACTAATCCTGAAGGAACACACTAAGTCAGGGATAAATTCTTTTTATACTATACACAAGCATAGTGTGAGACAAGGTAGACATCAAAAACAATCTTTTTAAGAAGAAATTAGATCTGATTTGAGTCTTGAAAGACAAATATCAGAGGTTGCCTTCGAGTGGGCAGGGAGACAGGTCTGACTAGCTAAGTATATGACAAGGGAAGAGAGAGAGAGGTATGACCGGAAAATTGCAAAAACAATCTATTCTACTGCAACTCCCTAAGAATACTGAAGAAATCTTATATACTTTCAAAATCCTATTATAAAAACTGTACAGATAGAAAAATGAAAAGTATTGGGAACTAGAAAGTTTTACATTTCAAACAAAACAATTTTCTTACAGAAACTTAGAGTGATTATCATTAGAAAAAGAATGAGGTTTGCTATCTCCATTTTTGTAATATCTGTATAGCTTTCCTAATTAAAAAACTGAATTTTAAAATTTGGTATGCTACCTAGTTGAGTAAATAATCAATTTGGGTTCTAAACACTCAACAAATGTTTGCTATATCTGGGCCATAGGGTATGATTTTGTGGAGAGCAGAAAGGAACAAATCATTAAGGTCTTATATTTTACTCTAAGGAAAAACTTTAAAAATGCTAAGTGGAAATCTACCATTTATTTTAAATAAAGAAATAACATTAATTTCATATTGGCAAGTGAAGTATTTAAATATTTAGTAACAGTATCCCTAGCTACACACACACACACACACACACACACACCCTTGGCTTTTTATGATAACCAAGTAACACTGAATATGAATATTGTTATGAAGTCAATAAGGCATTTATTGAGTACACACTTTTGACAAACCACTTTTAGTTTTCAAAAGCTAGAAGTTGTGATTCCTTCCCACCCAATGTTTTGATATCAATATATGCATGAGGTCCGTCATGACAAATCTTTCCACATGTTACTCTTGGATCTGTCCAAATGCCCAAAATGTTTCTTTCAATACTGATGTTTCCCCTAGTATGAAGATGACTATACACTTCATTTATGGGGCACACAAACAAAGCATTCTGGACAAAACAGAGAACTCTGGAGGTGGCATAGGAAGGTAAGAGGCTTAATAATTCTCCAAAAAAGGAAATTAAGTACCTAAAAAGAATGCTATTAGATGCTCATCTAGTTTTATCGGCTACTGTATCAGTATCCTCTTTGGCTAACTCAAAGAACCCCAGGTTATTCTTTCCAGATGCCTATTTGGCTCTGTCAAACAATAATCAAATCTTCCCATGAAAACAACTTAGCTCTTTTGAGCTAAAAAGGCACACACACAATTAAGCTCTGAGTAGTATTGTGCAGCCAATGGTGCATTACTATCTCTATCAACAAGTCAATGCCTTGTGTTTTTATTTAAAAATTAGCACAGTAACCTTGAAAAAAATTGCAGTTCATTAGAATATTGGGTTTAAAAAAACAAAAACACAGATTATCCACCCAGAACAACTGGCTAATAGGCTGTCTGTTGATGGATAGGCCGAGGGTGACACCTACTGGTGACCCATAATATTCTTCTCTGCTTTCTTTGCAGAGCATTTTAGCAATGTAACTAAGTAACACAAAATACTAAACATTTTAATTTTTCTATTTCTATAGTTGACATAAAATAATACTAGATGACTACACCTTCACATCATATCTTTTTCTACTCAGTGAGTAACTAATTTTAATGCTTATTATAGATACTACACAAACTCATTTATCCTGACACACAGGAGTCAGTACATTAAGTTTTAAAATGTTTTTAAGTTTAAAAATCCTGATAGGGGGCCTCCCCGGTGGCGCAGCAGTTGAGCGCTGGATTGTGAAGCTGCCTGCAGCCTCCGCGGCGCCGGTTCGATCCCCGGCTGCTCCCCGGCCACCGGAGGAGGGTCCCGCATGGAGCGCAGACCTCTCCTGCCGCCCGCTGCTCCCCTCAGCAGTGTACTTCGGTCCTTCTGCCTGCTCTGCTCCCCGCTCTGTCTCTGATGAATTCTCTCACCCTCCCGCACTTCTGACTGTACCCAGTGCTTGTATAAATAAATAAATAAATAAATAAATAAATAAATAAATCTTTAAAAAAAAAATCCTGATAAGGCCCCCCCCCCCCGCCCCCCGGTGGCGCAGAGGTTGAGCACTGGGCTGCAAAGCTACCCGCAGCCTCTGCAGCACCGGTTCAATCCCTGGCCACCGGCCAAGGGTACCACATGGCACAGACCTCTCCTGCTGCGCCCACTGCTCCCCTCAGCAGTGTACTTCGTCAGTCTGCCCGTTCTACTCCCCGCTCTGGCTCTGGTGAATTCTCTCACCCTCCCACACCTCTGACTGTACCTAGTGCTTGCATAAATAAATAAATAAGTCTTAAAATAAATAAATAAATAAATCCTCATGGATAAAAGTGGTAATTTTAAAGTAACACTCAGAGATGAAAGGTCATATATTGAATGACCCCATTTATGTGAAATACCAAGAATTGATAAATCCATGGAGACAGAACAGATTGGTGGTTGCTGGGCTGAGGCAAGGAGGGGTATGGGAAGAAACTGCTTAATGGCTAAGCTCTTTTACTTTGGAGTGACAGAAATGTTTGCAACCAGTCAGAGATGGTGGCTGCACAGCACTGTGAACGTGCTAAATGCTACTGGATCGTTCACGCTAAATGGTTAATTTACGTTAAATGAATTTCACCTCCACAAATTACTTTTAAGTTAAAAAAGTTAACGAAGTTTTGCTAATGAAAGGAAAAAAGCACTTTATTCACAAGCCACCCCAAAATACTCAACCAGTTTTCTACTTGAATCCGCGCGTTACATACCATGTGTCTACATGAGAACTACAATGGCAGACCTCTTTCCCTACCAGCAATATTAGCCCATTCCTCTTCTGTTGCTTCCCTCACTTTAAATATGTTATAGCGCAGTAATTCTCAACCAAGAAACCAGAAACCTGAGCAGGCGAGGGAAACAGAGAGCCAGCACCTCCTTGCCTCCTCTGTGGGAACGCAGCCCTAGTCACCGTTACCTCTTGGCCCACTTCCCATCAATTATTCATTTTCCCCTTTTTAAACTTTTCTCCAAATACATGTCAAGCATCCCCAAGAAACATGAGTCTTACGTAAACACGGCATTTTCTTGGTGTTTCCTGGAGACAGAAAAACAGCAGGTTCTCTTGGGCCTCCCCGGTGGCACAGCGGATAGAGCGCAGTGCTTTGAAGCTGTCCCGCAGCCTCTGCAGCGCGGGTTTGATTCCTGGCCGGCCAGGGAGATTTCCACATGGTGCGGCAGACCTCTCCTGTCTCCCCCGCTGCTCCCCTCGGCAGTGCTTTCCGTCCATCTGCCTGTTCTGCTCCCCGCTCTGTCTCTGGTGAATCCTCTCACCCTCCCACGCCTCGGGCCTATATCCCAGCTCTTGTATAAATAAATAAATCTTTAAAAAAAAAAAAAAGACAACTGAAAAACAGCAGGCTCTCAAAACTTACAAGTACCAACAGCAAATGTCTGACGGTTAGGTTCATTTATAATGAGTGCCATGAAAGGATGTTATAACCTAGGGTTTTCATTTGAAATAGCTTAGAGAACAGGCACACTTTTTGTGGGAGTCATGGGGAGGAGGTGCTTCGAGAGGGAGAAGGGGCAGTAAGGAACGTGTTTGGGAGCATCAACAGCACACAAAGCCCTCTTGCTGAGAGAAGACCACTCAGAGAACACATGCCATCACTGATAGGTCAAGTACCACTGGCCTGTAAGTGCTGCTAACTACCACTGACCTCATGTGTCCAGCAAAAATGTAAATGACTAAACTGTGCAAATAACAGGTAGTCTCTCTATAAGCGAAATTAAAAAAGATAATTCAAAACATATGGCAGTGTTTCATAGGAAAATGCAAATTTTGATTATTTGGATATGCAAACATAAAAAGCTGGGATTTTTTTTGGGTAAATTTTTTTTTTTTTTTTTTTTTTTATAAATTTTTTTTTTTTATAGAGGCATGCTTTATTTATTTATTTGTTTGTTTGTTTTGTTTATACATGCACTGGGTACAGTCAGAAGCGCGGGAGGGT